GCCTAAAGACCGAGCTTCAGAAACGACATTTCTGTCAGAGAATCACTGAGAAAAGATGAAGTATCTGCAAAAATAAGTCCACCGATACATGTACATGCAGCGTATTATCCTGACTGAGGAAAAAAAGCAAACAACCGAATCATAATGCGCCCTCAAATACTGTACAATACTTGTGTCCCTTTAACCTTACATTCAAGAACTTCTGCTTGAGTTATTCAAGAACTTCTGCCATTCATCAGGATTTTCATTCATAACAGTCCCGAAACTGGCAGATAATTAAGAGTTGAAAGTTCAGTACGGTTTAGGAAGGCAAAAGTAAGAAAGCATGGCAATTCTGAGCTCCCTGAGCTCAGCTGAACTTTAAAGAAAGATATATTGAGAACAGCAGCTAAGAGGCAAGAGCTTCCAGAGGAGAGGCGACGATCCTGCCACTTCATTCGCAACAAAAATAACTCTAAACTGGTTAATTAATCCTATCAGGCAACGATGCAGATTTACTCAGACTTGACATCCTGGTGTGCGACAGTGTGAGCTCAACACTTCTACACACGCATGGCTAAGCCACTGACCTTCTGCAGCTCGGTCTCCGGCTCCTGGGGCTGGGCAGGAGTCTGGGCCTCCGGCTCCTCCTCATAGTTCCCCCAGAGCTCGGCGGGAGCGTTCCAGTCTGAGGTGGGGTCCACCGAGGAAAGCCCATCTACAGAGCAACCACACAGCGGTTTCAGCAGCAGGTGCGGATGGGTATTTCACCCAGCTGACAAAGGCTGTATTCCCAAGTTTCTCTCCCTTCGCTTCACATAACAGCTTTTCTTCCTCCTTCGTGGATAAGCTGGCATGGGCTAGATAAGGGAAACTATTTCTGCCGTGGATTCCTGCAGCGATCGAGACGGCGGGTGTTCTAGAAACACGTGAATGCGAACACGCCAGGCTGCATCACAATTACAGAACTGTCTCAACATCGATGACGACTTGCTCGCTTGCGCGCACCAGAACCTGCTGAATGCGTGGCGCAAGTCGGTTAGAAGACCTTCGCGAAAAAAGAGCTCAAAAGACAATTTGCATCCACAAGTGCAACACAATCAAACAGCACATTAAAAAGTTGAGACACCAGATATTTGAAAAAGAAATGAAATTAATGACACGTTTCAACACAGCGTTATATTTTGTGTCATTTGACATCTCTTACTTAAGCCAGACCACTCATCCGCCACTTTATGTTGGCCACCATCCCACTGCAGGTCAGTGTTAGTCTGGGATCCTGGTTCTGCACCTATAAAATAAAAGAGAGCACATTGTCTTGCATGACAACAGCAGTTTCTTCATCTCGAAAACTGCATTTCAAATGGATGCTACCCCTTTATCAATTAAAGTGCAATCAATTAATGCAATTAGCAATGCATTATAAATACTAAACTCACAAGTCACATGAAATCCTCACAAGTACCACAAGTTTCCTGCAATGAGGTATCCCACACAAGCAGGCACTCATGTGAACGAGTGAACAGCGCCATCTACTGGTGCACAGGTGGAATTACACTATGCAGTTTGAAGTGACCAAACTAATCCATGGACTATTTTTCTTTTGAAGAGAATGAAACACTTCACAGCATCGGTATAATATGGTGCGATATCACTAAGCACAACAGAAACTACTGAGTTTTAAATCCAGTAATTCCACAAAACTACTTAATACTGTAACCTGCCTAGAAAAACATTTGCCATGCAAAAAACGTGTGTGAACTGTTATGTATGAATTATATTCTGCTACACTGAGCACAGATCCATGAAGCGAGATTAATTCAGACACGTATATTATTACAGAAGGTGGTGGGATGACAACAGATGCTGAACATGCACTGAAATGTGCATTAAAACACAGACTTAAAATGTGCATTTTCCTAGGTTTATCATCTATTTCACAATTGTTCACTCCTGGTCCATTACAGCACTGTGTCTAGGTGCAGGTTACCCCGGACGCTGAATGGCTTCATTCAAATGAACTGTTCACTGAGTTCTCTATTGCCCATGTTTACAAGTTAGCAGTGATTGAGAATGAAAAATTACCCATAACTACAGATGGGCTGTGGCCCTCCATCACCAGGAGGGTGTGCAAAAGAGCAAAGTAAAGTAGAAAAATCTGGTGTACCCCCTTTTCTGTCTGTCCTGAGCATTTGCTCTTAGCTCAGGTAAAAAAACAAACAGCTTTTAGTTTAAGAATTCAGTTTTTGCCAATATGGAGTCAAAATTCAAATAGCGCTACATTTAAGAAAATAATATTAATCTGAGATGCAAAACATCTATTTCAATGTGTACATTTAAATTTGTCTTATTATCAGTCGATTAAGTCAATGCTTGGCATCGCAGACATCTGCAGAAACTTTTTTTGGCACTGCAAGCTCTTCCTGTAGTGAAGGCAGGCAGACTATGGACTCGGATTCGATACAGATTCACACCGGAAGGGTACTTTTCCAAAATAGGAAATGATATTGGAAACTGGGAGACTTTTAATACCAGTAACAGCAGGAGTTAACCCAAGAGCGGTGAAAGATGAGGGATTCAGATCTGGCTTCTTCATTCTTGCATCTACTGTGGTCCATGAACCTGCGAAAGATTATTACAGCATTTGAGGATGTATCTGCGTGCGGGCAGCCAGAACAAGGAGCGAACAATGCGCATTACATTGCTATTTCTAGTGAACTGTGTTTATGTTGGGGAAAACTTCTCAGCTAAACATAGTATTTTCTTTTTTTGTACAAAATCTTCCAGTACTGTACTCGGAAACTTCAGACACAGTCACTCGCGCGGCCTGCGCGACACCAGGCTGTCCAGAAGAACGCGCCTGAGCCGCAGAGCTACCTTCTGTGCCCTGGCCCCACGCCGCGGGCTCCAGGCTCCTCCTGGGAGGTGCTTCCGAGGCGCTGCTCCAGGTCTCCCCGTTGACGCTCGACAGCTGAGCTGGCAGCTTCATGGCCATGTCATTCCAGCCGCCCCCGTTGACCGCCGGCGCCTCGGTCCAGCTGGCCGACACTGCGCGACAGACACCGCGCGAGCTCGTTAAACACTGCGCCGCAGTCTTCCCCGGCGCGTATTGGCTTGACTCGATATTCGGGGCTGAGCAAGTGCATAGCTGAAACGAGAGCAGGGTTCTCCGTCCCCGATCCCAGAGGGCCCGAGTCCAGTGAGTGTTATACTGTAGGTCACCGGTTCTTAAGGACTGACACCTAAGCTACTGATAATTCAATCTAGGAATGCGTTCCATTAGGAGAACTCTGGTACTAAGTCCTAAATAATGTCTAAATTACTTAACATTTCCATCCATCCACTTTCTAACTGCTTCTTGCAATTGAGGATCACAGGGAGCCAAAGCCTATCCCAGGAAGCAACGGGTGAAGGCAGGATACACCTTGGGCAGGACACACACAAACACATGCTCATACCGCAGCCAGTTTTTCCCAGAAGCCAATTATCCTACCAGTAAGTTTTGGGATTGTGTGAGGAAACCAGCCCATCCAAAGGAAACCCATGCAAACACAGGAGAACATACAAACTCCACACAGATAGCACCCCAGGGCTGGAATTGAACCCAGGGCCCCAGCAATGCTAACCTTGAAAATTGGCAACAGAATTATTCCATACCTTTAGAAATTGATCATTTAATACTGACCTACATAACCTGCCGGACTGGGACTCCACAGGACAGCTGCCTTTAATGTATCTTTAAGATTAAATGGGGAAATGAAAGTCTCTTCACTACTTTATACAGCCTCTACTGAATATACCAGTGAAGAGACTTTCATTTCCCCATTTAATCTTTAAGATACATTAAAGGCAGCTGGATCAATGAACATTAAAACAGCATTCTATGAACATGCTTGTGAACACGACCTACATCTTAAAATTAAAATGCACCCCCCCTCTACAGTAGCAACAATTTCTACATTTAGTAGAAAGTTCCTTACCCTGAGATATGACAGCATCTTTCCCGGGCTTGTTACGATGCAGATCACCTGAGAAAAGAGGTGATATTACAAAAAAATGACTGTAGGGAGGCAGTCAGGTGTGAATGTTGGAGATGTAATATTAAATGGATTAAATGACATGTCGTCAAACGGTTACATTCCTTTCACACAAATACACATATTATTCTATTTAAAATGACTCCAAGTGAAAAAGGGTTCTCCTAACCAAAAAGCTGAAATCAACTAGCAAGCAGATTTTTTTTCTATGGCATTTTTTTACAGTTCATTTCTGCCTTTACAAAGGCCAGGTGTCAAATTTAGCAGTTGGGGTTCAGTCTTGGGGGGGGGTCTGTGTGTTTATGTGGGATCTTCCACGTCCTCATCAAGACACAGTAAGGAAGAAATAAAAAGAGCAAACAAAGTTAGAGCTCAAAGGGAAGAATTTCAATCCAGGATCCAGGGAAACTATACTCAACCACTATGCACTAGTAGGACCTCAACAAGACTGTGTTCCAGTTTGGTTACCATATTACAAAATGCACATTATAGCCATAGAAAACGTTCAAGGAAGAACATCAAAAACGATTCCTGGTTTCAAGAGCCTGACATTTAAAGACAGGTTAGAGGAACTAAAACCCTTCAGTGTACAAGGAAGGAGAGCCAAGTGTAAAAAACTATGGCCAGAAACAGGCTCAACCCAGGGGACCACTTCCACGCTTGGAGCAAAAACAAGCACACGGGGACGCTGCTGTTATCCACTCAGGTGTCCCCATGTTCCCTGTTGTGTGCGACGTGCACCAGTCTCACCGCTCGGCAGTGCCTGTTTATCACGCACAGTTCTTCTCATGGGCTAAATAACAGTTTTAAGCCACCGGTATATCTGAGCAACACTTCCTCTTAGCGGTCCATCCACCCTCCAATCAGCAACAGAGGTGGTGAGGAACCCGACAGCTCAGTTAACACAGATTCATTACTTGTGTGCTTGGACCAAGCTTCTTCAACAAGCACACATCAAAACCTGAGGTACCAAGCGTTTTAAATTACTGGGAAAGAAATTCTACCACATACCGGTTGTGTTTCATTGTCTATCTACGGTATTAAAAAACATTTTCCAACATTTGAACGTCCTTTGATGCTGATTTGGGGGGGCAGAAGTAAACATATGCTGGCATGAGACAGCAGCGCACCCCTGGTACACAGGTGGCTTTATTTACAGAAGCCCCAGGGTGGCTCGGAAAACACATGGGGCCATGCGCTGCTCCGCACAAGTCTCCGACGGAGAATCGAACGCCTCCCAGCGGCCGTGCTGCAATTCGGCTCATTTCACAGACCGTTCGACAAACGCAGCTGCAGAAGCCCAGACACAGGCCCTCTCTCTCAAAACACAAGTGACCAGATGAAGAGCATTTGACAAGAACAAAGACCCAGATCACAGGGTATTTAGGATTACTCGTTTAAGAACCTAAGAAGGGTTACAAGTGAGAAGAGGACATTCGTCCCATCTGGCCCATTCGGCAGTTAGTCATTCATCCACGGATCTCAGCTAGCTGTGTCTAGAAAGGAACTCTTGGTCCATACTCCCACAATCTTTCTATATTCTATACATAGCATTTCTGCTTGAAATATTCATACACACCTCTACACAGCGGTAAATGTAACTTACAAAGCACAAGCACCCATTTAGGCACTCAGAGGATATATTGAGCGACTTACTGCATTAAATAGTTCCTCCTATCCCCAAGTAGCAGAGCATTTTTCCATGGGAATCTTATACTCCCTAGTGAGTGACCACAAAGAAAAACAACTTGTCTCAGGTGGGCAAGAAACTACAAGGCTTCCAATCCCCACAAGTTATGTTATACAGCTACAAGCACCAGTATCACATGAACTGGAGCAGTGTTTCCGGCACGTCTCATCAAACCCGACCCCAGTCCATTTCACCAGCCTCTTAGCATCCACAGTCCGCACCATGCAAACATCTGTGCATTTTAGTGGATGTCCAAATCGCGAGTATGAAATAATAGTCTCACAATCTATGCTGCATTCTTAATGAAAATCTCCAGCCCTTGGCTGCAGCTGCTCGTTTTAGTACGTGTCCACCCACCCATTTTCTCACTGCTTTATCCCGTTCAGGCTGAGCTGGAGTCTGGTCCTGCAAGCCCCAGGCACGAGGCCGGATACACCCTGGACAGGAGG